GTTCCGGCAGCTACTCCAGCACGAGCGGGGCAATACAATGGCCAGCGGCAACAGCAGTGGCATTGGGTCCTCGCTGTTCAGAGGGGCGCTCCACGGCAACACCAGCAACACCAACAACCAGTCTGGTCACCAGGTCAACACAAGTCACCACCACCACCACCCCCAGCAGCAGCAGCACCATCACCACCACTCCGTCACCCTTCACAGTCAGCAGGGGGTTGGGGTGAGTGGATGGCGTTTAAGAGGAATGGAACGGGATTAGTGTTAGGAGGCGAGAGTTGGGGAGTAGTGTCTAAAGGTGGAACATAAAGTGGCTTCATGGGGGCATCGAGCAGAATTCAGGTACTTTGATTAGACTAGAAATTATGGCACTTTTGCCAGGGTCTTGGAGAAAAGAAAGTGTCTATGACAAGTGCAGATGTGCAAAGTGCATCAGATTCCTCGTAAGCTCTCCCTGATTATATAGTTTGAACCTTGTTGAAGATCTAAAGTTTGAAAATGTTCATGGTTAAAGTCTAGAGTTTAAATTACATATGGTAACAGTAACTGAAAAATAAAATTAAAATAATTGAGTCAAATACTCTAGGCCTCTGTATCAGTCTATACCAAGGGTGGGCAGTTGAAGTACTTTCCAGACAGGTGTTGCTGTACGATTAGGGTTGGGTTGTGTTGTGTTTGCCCATTTATATACTTTCTTTCATTTATGTTATTATTATTGTGGATAGACACATTTTCTTTTTATGCTTTGCTGTGTAGCTGTGTAGAATTCTGGTTTGATTAATGAATACAGTGTCATCTTACAAGATCATGATGAGTAACAAGTAGTAAACTTCCATAATGATTAGCATATCTAATTTTACTTCATCCTGATCCATTCATATCATGTGGACCAATGAGACGTGCTCATTCTCCTCCTGTCAGGTCTCGGCTCAGGGTTCCCACCAGGGCCAGTCGCAGCCGCCACCCCCTCCGCAGCCCCAGCCCCAGGCTTCCATGGGATCTTCGTCCTTCAGCTCTGAAGAACCACGGCAAGCAAGGGGAACGCCTGGAGTGAGAGAGGTGCGTTCTTGTGACTTCTTGCACTGTTTCTCTTTTTGTGCCCTTTGGATTATTGGGAATGTGGGTTTGTGTGTATTGATTGATATGATATTCTTTGGCACAATTTTATGTCTCCCTATAATTCTCCAGTATGAGCATTCGTGTTATTTTGGATGTATTTATGTGTGTATTAGATTGTAATATTTCTAACATGAACAAGCTTGCCTTTATATGATTTCTGTTCATGCTTTATCTTTCAGAATACTTAAAGCATGGTTTTGCCTTTCATTTAAGATCTCGTCCTTTCCTTGCAGAGTCCTGATCACATGTCAACATTGATGGCCAAACTCTGGTTTGACCACAATGTAGAGTCCTCACTCTCCTCGCTAAAGAAGGAGGAACATGAGAAGCGCACCAAGGACTTGCGCAAGCAGTTGGAGTACATCGCAGACACCAACTGGAAGTACTTACCCGTTGAGAAGTACATAGGGCAGCAGTAATGGGAAGGGGGTTCAACTCAACGACTCTTTGTGCTGTGTTTGATGTGATAATTGATAAATGATAAATGATTGGGAAGAACTTTTCTCAGAGAACAAATGTGAACTGTGAAGGATTTTTTACTTTAGTACTTAAATTAAAGTTAAGAGGAAGAAATTGGTGCTGCAGTGTTCATGGTCCTGATACACTTTCTTTTATAGATACTTTCTCTTGAAGATTTTGGAGCTATTCACTATTTATATTGTTTGACCCAAAAGACAGTCACAAACAGAACTGATCATGATAACATTAGTTCAAAAGGTTGTGAGCTACATAGTGAGAGGCAAAGAGAGCAATGGGCCCCAAAATGATGACCTGGAGAGACCAAGACTGGAGGACTTCATAGATATCAGTCCGCACAGCTTGGAGTCATGGAACTTCGAGGGCACGGTGACCTCGGTCAATGGGTGGAACATTGTCATTAACAATGATATCTACTTTGAGGTCCAGAAGCCCATGACACCAAGCAGTTTTAGTGTGGGCGATAGTGTGAGTGGCGTTGCACACAGAAGGAGCAAGTCAGAGGCATGGCGTGCCACTGTCGTCCAGCTCCAGCAAGAGGCCTGGGATTCGGCCAACAGTAACTCCACCACTGATGGAAACCCCCGGGGCCTGGATTATGAGAGTGGATTAAAAAGTTTGGGTTCAGGGCAGAAAGATGCATCTGTCATCTCCTGCAGGGAACTGGAGGCTGGCATCCCCGGCATCTTCAAGCAAGATCTGCTCTCCTCATGTCTCAGAAAGAGCAACACCCCCGAGGACACATCCTCCGCCTCTAATGACGGAGACGCCTCCACAGAGCTGACGCCTGGGGAGCAATGTGCCATCGGTAAAATCACAGACATCTTTGGCGACTCGGTGACCTTGAATGAGAATCTGCATTTCAGGTTCTGTCCTGCGGAATGTAGCTTTCAGTTGGTGAAAGGTAATTATATATATGTTGATGTACTGATTTCAAGTTAGTAGTTTGTGCTATGTGTGTTGTGACTTGTTTTATGCTGTCCAGTAGTTTTGTATGAACTCCTGCGAACTCTTAACCCATTCGCGCCGGGTAAAAATAAACAAAAAATGGGGGAAATGCTCATTTTTTATATTTTTTAATGAAATTTCTCTACACTAGATGGCTCTGCTTTACCGGATTTCATTTGGCGGGAAAATGTATTTTTACTTGTGCTATGAATATCGATGGTTATTTTTATTATAAACATTATAATTACTATAATGTTATAAACATTAGTAACAGTAAAATAAGATAACGCAAAACAATTTTGTAAATTAAAGAAAAGGGTAAACAGACGAGACAGGCAGTACAAGTGCAAGTGGACCCATCTATGTTTGCAAACAATCAAACAAGTAAAGTCACAGTGGGCCCGTCACGTATACGTGACGCCCGGTGCGAATGGGTTAAGACATAGGTTTAGATTATTTTAAGGGCTAAGGGAAGCATCTGTTGTGAAAAAAAAAATGTGCCACTCCTGCAATAATTGTGACTGTATAATTCAAAATCTAATTTTAAAAGATGATTCCACTGACAGCATTTTAAGAACATAGTCAAGTTCTATATATATGAGACAGAATTAAAATCACTCCCCTCCTTTAACTCCTGGATGGTGAGGAGTGGATACATTCAATTTAATAGTTGTCTTTAAGAGATCGTTCTTCTATCATAGGGATGTTAGGCCTTTACCACCTGCTGGATTCATTATAAACCCCAAAGTCCCTTTTTTATTTTTGTAGGAAACTTATTGATGGGGTTAATGGAAAACTTTTACCCATGGCCTTAGGAAAAAAATCCCTTTACTTACTGAGAGTCGCTTTATTCTTGTGTGCCATTGTATAAAGAGGATGTGAGAGATATAGGATGCAAAAATTAACCCATTGCCGCTGGGGAAAATAAACAAAAAATGGGGGAAATGCAGTACTCATTTTTTATATTTTTTAATGAAATTTCTCTACACTAGATGGCTCTGCTTTACCGGATTTCATTTGGCGGGAAAATGTATTTTTACTTGTGCTATGAATATCGATGGTTATTTTTATTATAAACATTATAATTACTATAATGTTATAAACATTAGTAACAGTAAAATAAGATAACGCAAAACAATTTTGTAAATTAAAGAAAAGGGTAAACAGACGAGACAGGCAGTACAAGTGCAAGTGGACCCATCTATGTTTGCAAACAATCAAACAAGTAAAGTCACAGTGGGCCCGTCACGTATACGTGACGCCCGGTGCGAATGGGTTAAGACATAGGTTTAGATTATTTTAAGGGCTAAGGGAAGCATCTGTTGTGAAAAAAAAAAATGTGCCACTCCTGCAATAATTGTGACTGTATAATTCAAAATCTAATTTTAAAAGATGATTCCACTGACAGCATTTTAAGAACATAGTCAAGTTCTATATATATGAGACAGAATTAAAATCACTCCCCTCCTTTAACTCCTGGATGGTGAGGAGTGGATACATTCAATTTAATAGTTGTCTTTAAGAGATCGTTCTTCTATCATAGGGATGTTAGGCCTTTACCACCTGCTGGATTCATTATAAACCCCAAAGTCCCTTTTTTATTTTTGTAGGAAACTTATTGATGGGGTTAATGGAAAACTTTTACCCATGGCCTTAGGAAAAAAATCCCTTTACTTACCGAGAGTCGCTTTATTCTTGTGTGCCATTGTATAAAGAGGATGTGAGAGATATAGGATGCAAAAATTAACCCATTGCCGCTGGGGAAAATAAACAAAAAATGGGGGAAATGCTCATTTTTTATATTTTTTAATGAAATTTCTTCTACACTAGATGGCTCTGCTTTACCGGATTTCATTTGGCGGGAAAATGTATTTTTACTTGTGCTATGAATATCGATGGTTATTTTTATTATAAACATTATAATTACTATAATGTTATAAACATTAGTAACAGTAAAATAAGATAACGCAAAACAATTTTGTAAATTAAAGAAAAGGGTAAACAGACGAGACAGGCAGTACAAGTGCAAGTGGAGCCATCTATGTTTGCAAACAATCAAACAAGTAAAGTCACAGTGGGCCCGTCACGTATACGTGACGCCCGGCGCGAATGGGTCAAGACATAGGTTTAGATTATTTTAAGGGCTAAGGGAAGCATCTGTTGTGAAAAAAAAATGTGCCACTCCTGCAATAATTGTGACTGTATAATTCAAAATCTAATTTTAAAAGATAATTCCACTGACAGCACTTTAAGAACATAGTCAAGTTCTATATATATGAGACAGAATTAAAATCACTCCCCTCCTTTAACTCCTGGATGGTGAAGAGTGGATACATTCAATTTAATAGTTGTCTTTAAGAGATCGTTCTTCTATCATAGGGATGTTAGGCCTTTACCACCTGCTGGATTCATTAAAAACCCCAAAGTCCCTTTTTTATTTTTGTAGGAAACTTATTGATGGGGTTAATGGAAAACTTTTACCCATGGCCTTAGGAAAAAAATCCCTTTACTTACTGAGAGTCGCTTTATTCTTGTGTGCCATTGTATAAAGAGGATGTGAGAGATATAGGATGCAAAAATTAACCCATTGCCGCTGGGGAAAATAAACAAAAAATGGGGGAAATGCAGTACTCATTTTTTATATTTTTGTGAAATATCTCTGTCCATAGATGGCTCTGCTAGTCCTGATTTCACCTTTCCTTGAGTTGGCGGGAAAAAACATATTTTTACTAGTGCTATAAGTATAGATGGTGTTATTTTTAACAGCAAATTAGGATAGCGTTAAATATTTTCGTAAATCAACGAAAAGGGTGAACGGGCGAGACAGGCAGTACTGTAATTGTCTCATTGGATACTTAGTACAAGTGTAGCCATCTATGTGTAAAAACAATCGAACAAGTCGACTCACAGTGGGCATGGCATGTACGTACATGCCATCCCCGGCGGCAATGGGTTAAATGATAAATGCAACTTCAAAAGCGAAATAATGAGACAGTCAAAAAGTTAAGGAATAGTGTTTTCATATGATTTCATTTCTCTCCTTTCATAGCAAGAGTGTTTGACATGATAATGTAAGTGGACATTGATTAAATAATATTTTTTCTTTGGGAGAAATTCCATGATATGATAATTTGACAGTATTATGATCCTCAGGTGTTAGATATATCAATATTTATTTGCTTATAGAATGAATAGATGTGATTCCCTGATCCTTTATTTTTTGTATGGCACCCTGTTGGATATCTTGTTGTTATTTAGATTTATTTTTCATAACTTTATCTTGCCTTCTTTAAAAGATAGGCCTTCACCTATTCATAACTGAGCCAGTTTTTTTTTTTTAGTTATTGCATTTAAATAGCTATACTGATGCAGTAAATGTATCTAATTTTACCTAATTTTACATATATTTTAATGCACCTTTTTAAAGAGGAGTGTATGACTCCAGCACGGTAGGAAAGACACTAAAACTGCGGTGGTTTGAGTCAGGCTAGAGAAGTCTTCAGGTTATACTAGATTTGAAGCCATAATGAAAAAAAGAGAAAAGGAGAAAAGAAGAAGAAAAGTTGAATAAGAAAATTGATGTATATTTGTGTTTGTTTTGCTTGTTTTTTCTGTATGTGTGTTTGTTTTTACAAAATTTATTTATTTTTGTGTTTTGATTCTTTTGTGTCTTGCCATTAATGTGTTTGTGAGTGAAAAGCACTATACAAGGAAAATAACACTGTTGTGTCTGATATTGGTTGTTTTCCTTGAATTGAGTAGTAAGTAAATTTTGAAGGAGAGGAAGGAGAGAGAAATATTTGATCTTTAATTTTGGTTGCTTCTGTACGAGGTCATGGAAGTGCCTGTGAGCATGAATAAAGCATTGCAAATTTACTGTCTTTCGCTTTCAGTGTTTGGAACGTAGAGTTGCATTTGCTTCTTTATATTTCCTTTTCTACATTCTGTTCAGTGTGGATGTTGGTGGTATATTAAGTTCATTTGTTGGCTTGTG